TTGTACGTGAACGGTGGTGTTTGTCAAGCAGGATGTCAGTCGATGTGTTGCATCTTGGTAAGTTCGCCAAATACAAAAATACAATGGAAAGTGACGATATTATTACGGATAAAGAATTTACCTTGCATTTCATATCTATTTATCGTGATATGCTGAATCTATGGAAAGTAAAATCTAAAGATTATATGGACAAGAACAAGAGAAGCATAGCATTAAAAAAAATTACTAATTTACTGAAAATGTATCGCCGGAACATTACGGATGAAAAGAAGAAAAAGATTAATATTCTACGTATACATGTTTTAAGCGCGAAAATAACAAAGTAAACCGAAACTAAACAAATTTGTTTGATCTTTGGCTTGATCGTATGCGCTGTACGTAAAGTTTGACAAGCAAATTTGTCAAGCAAGTTTGATCGTTTACAGGGGGCTTTATACAACATATCCGGTAAAAATAGAGACTTGATATAGTTGACATAGATATGGTTGCTGTAAGATCAACAAACAACGTAAACAAATATGGCGACATGACAGTTTTAGTGATGGGATATATTATTATGAATTTGATTAATTAAACTATCTCATTGATGTCATTCAGTGACTGACTTTTTCCATAAAACTTGTCTTAAATGAATATAACTATTCTCAGAGTAGTATAATATATAATAAATATTAAAAAATTCTTATTATATCATAACAACTGAACAAGTTTACTTAATTAAATACTTCATCTTATATATATAAAAAAATGTGTCACGATGTATGTTGCCAATAAACTCCAAAACTACTGAACCGATTTCTATCAAATTTCACATGTAGCCGTATTTTGGTCTAACTAACTGGATAGGATAGTTATCATCTCAATTATTCGCTTATGTCGTGAATGTAAACAAATAAAATGTTCTAATTAATTGTTTCTTAAGCAAGTGTTTATTTACTGTTTAGTTTTATGAAGTTCTTATAGATGGCGGTGTACGTTGATTCATAGATAAAATTCTTCAATATCGTTTGACATCTAGGTTGCAATAAATGGCGCTGTATTCTAGATGGCGTTTATTCTAAAGTAATCTGCGGTAATACCCAATAGATGGCGCTGTGTTCTAGATGACGTTTATTCTAAAGTAATCTGCGGTAACGTTTCTTTCAAAGAATTTTGCGTAGATTACGTTTTCGATAAGTTTTGTGTAAACTTCAGAACTGTTTTTTTTTTCATCTTTATTTCAAATTGTATTGAAGTGAGTTAATATCTCTAAAGTTTCAAAGATAAAGTGCTGAAACATGTTGGACATTCGTTGGTATTTTGTTGTACTATCTTCGAACTTAAACATCAAGGTAATTTCATCATCAGCTCAAAAAACAACAGCGTTTTTGGAAAATATGATGCCCAAAGTAACTTTATCACGCGGTCGAAGTTCTGGGCAAAAGTTAGTATTAATTTAAAGCGAGAGTTTATGGGAAATAAATATTAAGCGACCCTCTGGTGAATATAGGGAAAACTGTGATTTTACTGCTTATTTTTCAAAATTGTCTTTAAACATGGTGTTTAAAGTGATAATCCAAGTTAACAAATCATTTTCGATTGCATTTCGTTGCTTGATCATTGCGAAAACTCCGCAAATAGTTCCGCTTAGTTGTTTGTATACATCATTCGCCAGTTTAATTGGAATAACGTATAGTTGTTATTATTTTCAGAAATTTTGTTAAATATTATAATTATAAATTTCTAAATCTACTATGGTATCAGTATTTTATTTATAAAAACTATTACTATTATTATCACGGTAATATTATTGTATACCGTAGCAAAATGCCACTTTTAATAATTTCACAGCATTAATTCTATTGATTACCATAGCTTTAAAACCATGGAGCTAATACAAAGAGGAGATGGCCTAATGAGATTTGCCTATATAAAATTGCGTGACATTTTGCGGGATGAGGGGAGCCTATGCCCCACCCACTTTTTTAATCTCCATCTACCGGTAAAGAGCAAAATTACTAGCTTCATTCCATATCGATGTTACTAATTAGTTCAGCTACTTCATACTAGATGTCGCAAGAGTAGAATACTCAGGGACGTACTCAAAATTTCCGTACCAAGGTGTGAATTTAATTAAAATATTTTTTTGAACACTATTTTGATTGACCTTTTTACCCGACTGCGTGTCACAAACGAGGGTAACGTTTTATCGCTCTATCGGCGCTATAGTGATGAAAAGAGCTAAGACACACAAATGACATTTAAAGCAATGAATAAAAATATTAAGACAGGGCTAAAAAAATAAAAAATATTTTAAAACAAATCTTTATTGGTTTTAATCAAAATATCCATAATGATTTGTACTATTGTAAATCAAATAATTACGAAGATGACTTCTTTGGTTCGTTAGTACATCATACCTTCAATGAATGAACATAAGTCTATTTCGGTAATTCAATTACCTGCAAAAATAACTGTTTTGGTCAGTTGTTGTCGGTTTGTTGTCCTATCATTTTCTATGGTTGCAAAATGCTTAAAACGAATATCAATATATTTTTCAGCTATAGATTTCATCAGCAATATAATATGATTATCAGTAAGCGACTGGTCAAACATATGTATATTCGATTGTTTGAAATAATCTTGTCCAATAAGGGACTTTAAAGTATTCAGTACAATTTTATGTTTACGTAAATTAGAATTATTCCAAGATTGTGATTTGAAATAACGTATGTTGCATTCGGTTCGTAAACATATATTTATAATATCTTTAGATGGAAAAGTAAGACCACCTTTATTTTTAGTCTTTATCAAATAAAGATCGTCATCTTCGTAGTTATCAGCATATAATTGTTGAAGGCAGCTCTCACATTTGATCTTGGAATGTAAATAATTGACTACATATCCAGAAATATATGCAATTATTTGACGTTCTTCCAAAAAACTGAAAATTGTTTTTTAAATACAAATTGCATTGTAACGAACCGATATATCCAGTTTTAAAGAAGGTAAAGTTTCCTTCTTTAATTTTTTTAGACCTTTTTTTGACATGACAAAGTCTTCATCATTAAAATGGCAAGAACAAATTTTTGTATATTTGTTGGGTTCCAGTCTCGTCTATTAATTTTTGTCATCCATTGTTGTTTAAGATTATCATCCGATGGAAATCTGCAACATAATTTAAAATCAAATAACCTATAATAACTTTTTTGTGTACATACTAAAACATTTTATTTAAAGTAAGTTTTATTTTATTAATAACAAAATGACTGTTTCGTTAAGCAAAACTTTTTAAGTATTTCCAATTTATGTTATAAGACTTAGCGTTCCTCGGTAAAATTATAGGAATCTAATTACAACCCTGTCTTTTCTAACTTCTATGTTTATGTACCGTTGGCCGCCATCTAGTGTTAAATGGATTAATTATATTTGGCCGCCTACTTAAATTGTTCTGGAACTTTTAATAAATTACGTACACAATTACTTACACATGAAATGTAATGCCATCCATAGCATCAAATCGTCTATCCGAGTAGTTTTTACACGATAAAACGCAACACTTCATAGTTTTCTTCTTAGTAATACAAAACTACACTAAATATGCTAATGTCAATCACGGGGACCTCACAATACCAAGACGGACGAACGCTGGCAGCATACTAACCTAAGCCACGCCCACTTTGATGACGTCAGGACCTACTTGAGAATCACAGTGCACAGTTGCTTAGGCCATCTCCTCTTTGTATTAGCTCCATGTTTAAAACTTTCTCTATGCTCAATTTCATTATGTTAGTTTTCATTTTCCTTTATACAAATAAAAAAGAAATACAATCAAAGATTAGTTCGTATTATTCGAGTTGCGTTTGCGTCGCGCATTAATTGAATTTCAGCTCGATATCAGTCCGAGTTATCATGATTTAACTTCAAGAATTGACATTTAGATCCTTCAGTTTGTGTTGCCATCTAGTGACATATTTCTTTGTAGTTTCTTTATTTTTGTTATTTTGATAAAACATAACAAAATTGTGTGATTTTTGTTGGGATAATACTTAAGTAAAATAAAAAACAAAGAAATTATTGTAGAAATTGAAGGGGCATTGAAAAAAATGAAAGTTTAAGAAAAAAATACCCACAGTTTCACGATATGTCAAATGTAAATCGTCATTGTGAATACTGTATTAAAAATACCTTCTTATATAGATAAGTTGTCAGATAATATATCTGGGAATACTATAAAATGAAAGCGAAAAACTAGAAAGGCCGGCTGTGAGAATAGAGATGATGACTAATTTTTGTTTCTTTGTCCGTCAGGTAGAGTGTTAAAAAATATTAAACACGTATTTTTTTTTTTTTCGTAATCATAACATTGCGACTTTACATTGAGTTGAAATTTCGCATGACGTCACGTTAGAGTACGTTTTCTACTCAACTGTGACGTAGCGAGCCCCCTCTCCTCAACTTTAATGCCTGTTATCTAAGCTATTTCTTGTTAAACTGAAGTAAAAAAAATACGTATCTAATATTTTTCTATTATCTGACTGACGGACTAAATAGAATTGCATTTTTTTTACCCAGCCATCATCCATATTGCTTAATCGTACCGCATACGATGGGGGTGCGTGCATAAAACTCGCCGCACACTAAGTTTAAAACAATTCAGGAAAGAAATTCGATCTCACAAACATAGATCCATCAAAAATTGATTTTTTATCCTAATGTCGTACAAAAACCGTTCTATCTAAATTATTGGGGTAATATCGAATTATTACATGAAAGAAACTGTTAAATGATAACCATTAATGTTATGATGCCATTGTTTTCTAAGTAAATGAGTAATATTAAGTTGTATTCTGTATAGCCAATAACAATAAAGATTATTAATCGATCTTTTCATTTTTGAAACCGTTTTGGGGACAAAAAATTAACAATCGATTTCATAAATATCAATATTGATTAAAAAACTATTGGCAACACTGCTGATTTGTAATATTATACACTGTAGTCTTTGTAATTTAAAATTTGCTCCACTTTGCTCTGTATTTCTTTAAAATCTTATTTTCTTCTTTCTTCCTTGAATTTGTAAAAATAGAAAAGAATATGAACTTAAATGTGGCATCTTTTGGTAAATATATCTGGAACTCTCAGAGTCTCGCTGGATACGGGGTTAGTTTTGATAATTCTTTCTATTTTTGAAAAAAATACTAATTGGAAGTATTTAAAAGTTTTGGAATGAATACACGTACTGCCAAAATTGCATCAAATTGATGCTAATATTATGAATTGTAATTCTGAACTCATTTCAATATTTTTTTGTTGCTGTCCAGTATCAGCAGGTACGAAATAAATGGGCCAACTGGCTTATGATAAGAGATGTCAAGAGGCGCCGCATGAGTGCCGAGAACTTCCTTGAGAGGACTCGTATCAATGCTATGAGAAGAAATGATGTCCTACCAGTGGAGATCAGGGAACTAGCTGATAAAGACATAAATAAGTTTGAAATGAATGCAATCCCTCTAAGAATAAATAATAGATGTGCTGTGACATCAAGGTTAGTAATTTACATCTTATGTACCAGATATTCCTAAATCTTTTGACTTTTTGGAGATATCTTCCATTAGTGACATTGAATACATATGAGAAATCTATCTTTTCTTTTAGCACAAATATTACAATCAACATGAATCTTTGTACCATTTCCTTAGTGCTGTGCAAATCTATTAAAATATTACACCTATCTTATGTTATCTGACCATCATGCTAACAGCTCTGCTTTTATCTTTCTATTCAGAGCCTCCAGTTGATTATTTTTGTATCTCTAATTGGCTAAACATAAAAGTAATCCACTCTAAATCATAATCTATCTATCAGCCAGTGGCACAAACATCCATTATATTTGTCATTTGTTTAAAGTGACATTACCAATATAGAATTTGAAGTCCATTAGAGCTAAAAGGCACCATCAAACCTTAATGGATGTTTGTGCATCTGACTAAAGAATGTGTATTAATAGATGCCTAATATGATCTCAAAACTGTCCATTAGTATACATCTGTTTTATATGAATTAATAGGTAATATTCTTTGGTCGGGGAACTCCCGATGAATGAAGGACGGATCTTACAGTTTATTTTAACAAATACAAATTAATAGTTTTTTACTAAATGCACATGTAAGTATACACGGTATATACCTATACCGAAATAATATTTTTTCTATTTTTGTCTGTCTGTTCGTTCCGGCTAAACTCTGAAACGGTTACACCAGTTTTGATGGGACTTTCAGTGGCAGATAGCTTATTTTATAAGGAACGACCAAGGCTACTCTCCACGCGGACGAAATCGTGGGTACAGCTAGTTTAATTCTATAAATTTTGCATGCACAATGCTGTTATAGTAAATATTGTCTTAAAATTGATTTTAAACTACATTTCATTAAATTCGATGGCTTTAGAATACGGTGGAATTAATCTGAAATCATTAATAAACTTTTGGGGTAAAATATTAAATAATCGTTGACATGAATTGATTACGCGTAATCAAGGTCTATAACAATCGAATCGGCACATCATTAATATGAATTCCCGTCTTAACCCTTAAATCATGTGATGGACTAGGAAAAATTATAAAATCATCATTCTTGAGATAACCAACTTGTTGTAGTGCTGCCACTCCTGTAAACTGTCATGTTTATTATAAATTCATTGGTTTGTGACTTAACAGTTTTGGATTGATTACTTAACTGTCCATTAGAAGTCTTTTCGGAAATGAAATGAAAATATCATTATTCAAGTAAGCTTATTACAAGCACTTTTGAATTGTTCAAAAAATTTTGTTTCCCCTGGTAAGTTTCCTTCACAACAAGTGAAGGAAACTTACCAGCTCTTTATTCAAAGTCATTACTTTGAATAAAGAGCTGGTAAGTTTGCTGGTAAATGTCATTACATTTACACAAATCATGTCATTACCAAAATAATATCTATTATCACTATAATAAATACAACTTTCAAAGTCTGTCACAGGTTGTTCATAGAATTAGTTGTTATAGAACTAAGCGACGGCAATTAATTCCATGCATTACGATCCTTAAAATAATCAACTTTGTAATAGCCTTTACTCTTAATAATTTTAAATCCTGAATTTTCGAATTATTAACTAGAATATTTTATAAAAATAGTTTTGATTATAATTAATTTAGAAGTTGTTAATTTTGATCCATTTAAACATTTTTGTATGGCTTTGGAAGCACATCAATTTTTCTTGATATTATTAAATAATGATCGATTTAGATTGAGATTAAAAATCATTTTATGTTATTTTTCTTACAAACAAGAAAGTGATTTCAATATTTATTTATTTTGGGTAATTTCATAGAAACAATGAAATAAAAAACTTCTTATATAAACAAATGTGATATGAGCTCTCCAAATCCTCCAAACAATTTAACTGGACTATGCACCAAACACCCTGTATATCTCTGAAACGGCTCTAATGATTTTTATTAAATTTAGTATGCCTAGGGCAATAAATCTATAATAATTGCAGGGCTTCATTTAAAAAAAAAATACTAAGCCAAGCTTGATCATCCAGGTTCTTAGTATTATAATTGTAAATGGATATTGAAATTTTTTTTAATAGCGTTTTATTATAATTAGGGCCGGTTTCACCAGTTGCTGATAAAGCCCCTGATAGTCTATTAGGAACTAATCTGCTAGATAAACTACAACTTTTGGTTTCACAGGTCTCGGTCATTATTAATTAACAAATACGAAAAGAATACACGAACAAAAGTTTAAAAACTGAAAAGCGTCTTAAGCACAAAATATCAACAAAGCAAGACAAATGACTTGCGTTTCGTTTCTGTAAACACGTAGCTAAATATACGAATATCGTATTATTTTCATTCTAGTATCATAAAATTATAATTCAAAGTATGTGAAAAAAGTTTACTTAAATAATATTAAACACAAAAAAAATATTAATTAAGTTTTAAAATGATTTTTGATTGACGATAATTTGGGTCGTAGTATCGAAACGCAAAAAAGCGACGTTGCAGTTTCGTCGACTAATAAGCGGCCGATAACTTATCTGCCAGATAAATTATCTAGCAGTTTAATGGTGAAACAGAAAAAAGTTAACAGCAACCTTTATCCAGTAGATCAGTAACCGGTGAAACTGGCCCTAAGACTCATACTATAATTATACATATTGTTACTATGATTAGCCTTATTGGAATATAGGTGAAATTCAATATTTTAGATTCTTTTAAATTGTATGAGTTTGTAAATACATACATTCAATAAGTGCTGGAGTGCAAGGCCGAAGTCAACAGCAAGTCAGATTATACAACTGTCAAATTTCTCCACTCTATTTTAAATGTGTGTACATTGCGTTACCATTTACTTGATCTGTCTCACCATGCTATCACCAACTTACAATGGGGCAATGCCTTTGAAATTGTTCAAAGTAGGTTATAGCCTTTGGTTAAATATTTGGTTTATTACTACCAAGATAAACCTTGCTAATAATTAAAACAATAAATTACAACTCCATTCTGTGGGTCTGTAGATTTAATGTTTTCATATGCAAATACATTATGATCATATTTATTTGAACTAAAAAGTTAAAATGTAACTTAAGTATTAAAAAATAAGAAAAGTAAAGTTGCCTTTGTGACTAACAGTGCTACTTATAAACAAGGTTTAGCGTTGGAGTAAATTTACGCTGAGACTGCTCTTTGTATTAGTCAGAATTCATATTATTAAACAGAGACTTAACAAAGGTTAACTTAGTACAAGGTTCTACGGGAGTAATATTTGCTCCTAGAAGGTAGTAGATTTGATTATTCTCTGTGTAATATGAATATGGACTAATACTAAAATTGCAATTTTAGCGTAAATTTACTCAGAGGTTAAACCTTGTTTATAAGTAGCATTATAAAAATATACATATTACTAATCCAGTCTCAGGTCTGGGTGATATGATACTTTCGTTGTTTTAATTTATAAAAAAATAACCTACTTTATTTGTTAAAATAAGCTACTTTATCTACATAATGTATGTAATCTTGTCCAATTTTATCAATTACTGATAAATTTACAAACTAACACCTCAAAAAAACTAGGAAGCATCAGTTCTGTTGTTTAGCAATTACATAAAACCCACATACACAAGATGCTGTGATATAATCATCTTTGCACTAACAACAAATGAAATATTAAATTCTTACCTTTCCAGACCTCGAGGAATAGTTAAGGAATGGAGATTGAGCCGTATTGTGTGGAGACATCTGGCAGACTACAATAAACTCTCAGGAGTACAAAGAGCTATGTGGGGTTAAATTTACTTTGAATAAGTCACATATGTACATTAAACAATAGGAATTTCATTACTTGTTTCATTACCTACCAATGTCCCATTTTTTGAACCTTAAATTCAGCATTGTTATTAAAGGTGTTAAATGGCTGCTATTTAGAAATAAGTGTGAACTCTAAGTAACACTAGACGTTATGGTTATGGAAATAAAATAACAAATTTACTTTAACTTTATATTATAAAGCGTTTACCTTATAAATAGATTTATTGGAATAGCTTTAACATAAAGCTTTTTAGTCAAAGAGACCTGCAACAAACAAAAATAAATTAGGATTCTGAATGAATACATAAACATCTAAATATTATATTATAAGTTTTGGTTCAGTTATTTTTTTTTCAATCATTAGGCATCTGTAGCTAATACATGTGCAATCAACATCACTACAATTTCTAACAGCCCCTGTTTAAGGGACAGTTCGATTCATATATGATCATCTACTGAAGAGGATCAAGGATAAAAATCAATATGAAAGTAATTTCTAAGCTTACCGAAGCCCATATCATCATCAGACTCCTCAGGTTCTTCCTCTTTCTTTTCCTCTTTAGCGGCTTCAGCTGCCGGAGCTGCAGCAGCGGCTACAGGCGCTGCTCCACCAGCAGGTGCTGAACCCACACCCGAGCCAATGTTCGTGATGAGCTCGCGTACGTTCACACCTTCCAAAGCTTTGGCGAACAGACCGGGCCAATATGGCTCAACATCAACAGCTGCCGCCTTCAGGATGGTGGATATTTTTTCACCCTAAAATCATGTCATTAATTGAAAAAGGGGCCGAAATGCACCTAAACTATTAACAAAGAGTAATATAAAAATATGTTATTGTCGAAAATAATCATTGTCGTTCAAACAGAAACGTGATGAAAATGGATAGATTCGGTACAAATAGCGAGATAACCTAACTTTTGGTGGTCTTTGTATTTAAATACTCACAGTTACAGCGACATCATCATCAACGAGGATGAGAGCGGAGTAAACACAGGCTAATTCAGCTTTGGATGCCATTTTAATTAAATACGTGCAAGTTGCCAAGCGGCCTTAGCTCTAGGAGAACAAGCACGATGAACTTATCAAGTTCGAGAGAACTACGAAAAAGAAACCATCGAAAGATTTGTTTATAGGGATGTCAAAATCGATTATCAGAACTTTAATTGAAATCGCTATTTATCGATAATCTATAATAATTGGTTTTTATAATAATATTATCAATAATAGATAGACTTCCTACTCAAACTACTCTAGAAATCAGTTTTATCGAAATATATTACTTATTAAGTACCAAGAGTAGCTACGTTCTCTAAAAACATCGGTAACGTTCCCTAAAATATAGGTGAACGAAGGGATGGATGTCTGGCTCATGTGTCAAGCTTGTCAACGGGTGCTGCCACTGGGAATAAGTCTGTACTGGACTACCTAATTTCGCACATTTTCTTTTATTGTGAATATTGTATATTGATTTGTCAATGTGTCTTTATGACTCGGCAATAGTCATATTAATCAGGAATCTAAAAATATCTGCCTTGTTTTTTCTGATATTGTAATGGAAAGTGACTTCATAGTTTAATTAAGTCACATTCCATTAAGACTATTAAAACTGAAATAAAACAGGGCGAAAAAATCAGCCATTGCCGAGTTTCTTGTCAGTTCTTCTCATTACAAGATCTTCCGCCTTAGTATTGCGAACCGTTGGCAAAGTTTTCGACTTTTACAAGTAGTACGTAACAGCCTAGACTGAATTGATATTGATATTTATATTAATGTAATTCGACGTGTGGATGCATTATAGCACATATGGAAATACTGCACATAAAAAAACAAACTGAATTCTGTGCTTCGCTTTTTGTTTTTGATTCCAAACCTGAATTCAGTTGAATCGAGCCATTTGAAGTTACGCCAATCAATTCGTTGGCTCATCACTAATGTTGACATATAAACCAAACATCGTTCCTTTACACGTAACATAATAAATGACTTAAATCAGATATTATAAGAAACACGAAACGATGTTATTTTTATTGATTTTCAATACTCAATTTACTTTTATTAGATCAGAAACAACATTTTAATGAATATCATAGACAATTAACCAAACATCGCTAGTGACATCTAGTTGATTCTAAGAACTAATTTTTATTTTTTAATTATTTCCTCATAATTAAAATCGATTATAGGAAAAGAAAGAATTTTTAATAATCGATAATTTTTAGTTAGTTCCCTGGTTCCTTTTTACGGTGTTATTTAGTCTTGTGGCTGCTTGTGTAGTGGTTGTCGTGAATAATAACAAAATAATAGTACTTATATTTTTTTAATTGATACATAAAAGTATTAACAATTCTTATTATACGAACGCACGACATAACTCCTAAGATGGCGGTAGACCATAGACCACAATAGGGTATTTGACACTTTTCTGAAAACTATTTTAAATCGTTGTTGGCTACATTATAAACACACTGTCATAATATTTCATTGGAATCTTTTATATTTTTGGTAAAAATAATTGTTAAAATTTAAATAGCCAAAAGCGCGCGAAAAACGCTGCTCTATGTAATGGCGCTGATCGTGACTTCACAGGCCAGTAAATATGTCAAATCGATAAGTAACAACTGTCTTTAGAGTAAATTGAAATAATAATTTAGAAGAGAATTTGAAGTCGTAGTGCGTATTTTTTTACGTTTTTTATTTTCCTCTGTTCTGGTTTTCTTTAAAAAATGAGCTACAAGTGGTGCAAAGTGCCACAATGTACTAATACTTCTATAAATGAAAAAAAAACTTCCGAGTCTAGAAGAAAATAGATTCACAATCACAATAGTATAGTAGCTATAACAGGTGTTAGGGGAACGCTTCCGAAAACGAAAACCAGTGATAGAGTAAGTGATTCTGGATACATTGCAATGAAAAAATGATTACTTTATTTTTCAAAAAAAATATGTTATTTTTATTTTTTTTTTCATTTTTAGCGATGTAAAATAAGTTAAGTATTACTATTTTTATCAATAAATTTGTCTATTTATTGATTTTCCATAAAAACGCAATGTAATTAAAACTCGAAAAAATCAGCTGATCGGCGGTAGACGACCCCGAGAGTTCAATAACCTTTGGTACGTTCAAAGGGCACTTTCATTCTCTTTCCTTCACCACTGGTAGAATGAAAAGAGACAGAAGATACGAGTGAGAAACTTCAGCGACATCTAGCGACGAAAAGCTCTTAGTTCTCTACGTTGCTAGTTTAGGTACCCATTTTCCTGTGTTTTATTAAGAAAATGCAATGAAAACGCAATTACTAAAAGTAGTTTTAAAACGGCGTTTTGTTATTTTTTCAAATTGTTATTTATTGATGATCATTCCCTTTCACGCAATAACAATAAGTAAAAACGAGAGCGAAGATACTGCAGGCCAAGCTCGTAAACTTCTAGATACATCTAGCGGCAAATCGCGGCGGTTTTGATGATATAGCGAATGAGAATGATAGATGCAGCGCCATCTAGTAGTGTAAAGCAAAATCAATCGGTAGTGTTTCCGTGTTAAGGGGTGCCACTTTTTAATGAGTAAATATCGTTTTTGAATAACCTACTAGATAAAATGCATGTTCTTCTGGAAAACATTTGTTTCGACTAAACATTTCAAAACGGTTTAGTAACTCTAGTATTTACAAAATTTTTATCTTTGTAAATTTTTAAAAATAAAACTTACATTACATGATTTTGATAAGTGCACTTTTTTATTTACTTGTCTTTAAAATGTGAGCTTTATTTTAATGAGTTTTTTTTACGTTAGCGCAGAAAAGTTTAAGACAAAAATCATTTGATTTTATTCAGAGCATGTAACTAATAACGATATCTTTTAACTCGCATAGTAATTTATTTAGGTTTTATAAAACACAAAAAGATCAGATAAATACATTTCATTAAAATGAGGGGAAGGTGTTAAATCATTTTTATTTCATCAAAATCTAAATGTATAAGAAACTTCATTTCTCCAGAAGTGTGTGTGTGTGTGTGTGTGTGAAATCATTAAAAAAGTAAACTTTATGAAAAACTATTGGGAGTCCCAATTGAATTTTTTCCCGATTCAATTTTAGCATAATTATTTCTCTTGTTTCAATTTGAAAACTATAAAAAAGCGGAATAGTTGTTTCTCTTAATAAATACTTACTTTGCATGACTAACCCAATAGTATAATCCTATCGGGTTATTCATGATTAAACGCGATGTTGAATTGTAAAACTTCACTTAGTACTTTTACGACAAACTTTATTTATAAATCTAAACACATAATTAATTACTATTAAAGTTGCTAAGTGAAATGAGTGGCAGCCCTAGATATCATTGCGAACCGCAGTGACCGGTGAGTGTGTTTATAAAAGATGCCGCTTCACTTTTCCGGTCCGTCCGCTTCCGGTTTCTGAGACATGCTGCCGCTACACGTGCTGCCAGCTCTAATTTTTTCCCTTAATTGGGTAATTTTTTTACGGGATAAATCCCATAAAAATTGTATGATATTAAAGAAAGGTGAGCTATCTTTTAAATATCTATCTATCTTTTTAATATTTTTGATTACATGGTATTATTAAAATATTTTTTTTTTTAATTGAAGTTGATGTTATTGAAATAACATTAATCACTTTTAAAAATTTATTCGTATAACAATAAGTTAAGAGCGTCGCAAATAAGGTTGGTTAAGTTACGTTAGCCAATGTTCCTGCCAATCGGTTAACAAAAACGGTACCCGGATAATAATTTCTCTGTCTTACTTTTATTTATTAGGATACGGTGAAAACAATTATTAATGATGCACAACATTCTTTCAAACATTTTACTTATTTTGTCATAAAAATAATTTAGTATAGCGTACACTTTCAGACAATTTTCATTTGGTTTATTTCGGTATTATTAAAAATTACTTACGATATCAGTTCTTGTAATAATTCACAATGTTAAAACATAAATTTGATCGAACACGTAATGCACAATCCATTCAATTGCAGATTTCATTTCTAAAACAATTTTGGGAATTTGGTGAAAAAAGTTGCAACACTCGAATATTCAGTAGGAAGAACTGAAGAACGAATGATCGCGGCTTCTTTGATATGAGCGAGGCATGAGGCCGACCAGTGGCAAAAAACTTTCCATCTCGGTTTGCGAATGCGTATTTTAAAGTTTATTTCGTTAAATTAGTTATCATAGTTTTTAGTTGAGCGTGTTAGGTTTATTTATTTAGTGTTTATTTTAAGTTTTATTAGACAATAAGTGCATCTCATCATGCCTAATGCGTATGTGTACAGTGCTCGTGAGTATGGGAACATGGTTATGTGTTTAGGAGAAGCACGTGGCAATGCTTCTCTAGCTTTGAGAATTTACCGGGAAAGATTTCCTAATGTGCATCATCCAGGAGACTCTCGAACCATTACTGCTGCGTTTCAACGACTGTTGGAGAATCAACCGATCGTTCCGGTGGCGGTCGGCGGTGGGCGACCAATAGACATTGCAGCCGAGGAGCGTATTCTCGATGTGATCCAACGCAACCCCCGTTTGGGCACGAGGACTGCTGCGAAGTTACTGCAGCGGCCAAATGGGCCCTCAGTTTCGCATTGGACGGTGTACAAAGTTTTGCGAAGAAACAGAATGCGGCCTTACAAAATTCATAAAGTGCAAGCTTTGATACCCGAAGACCTACCCCGTCGTCGCACTTTCTGCCGTTGGTTGTTGGATCAACAACAGCGTCTTCCAGGATTTATTCAGCATGTTATCTGGACAGATGAATCTACATTCACAAGGAACGGCATGTGGAATAGACGAAATTCACATTTATGGTCTGAAACCAATCCACGTGCCACTCAAGAGACTGGCCACCAAACCCGATGGTCGGTCAACGTTTGGGCTGGCGTCTTCAACAATGTTATCTTTGGGCCGGTGTTTCTACCACAACGACTTGACGGAGCTGGGTATCTTAGGTTCATTAATGAGAGCCTTGATGAAATTCTTGAAGGCATATCATTAGCTGAGCTAAGAAGGGCTTGGTTTCAACACGATGGCGCACCGCCGCATGTGGTACGGCCGGTACGTGAGCGTCTCACTGAACTATTTG